TCTTATTCTTGTCAAGGACTAACTGCAAAGTGATCACAGTTCCCCTGAATTTACAGCTAGCAAATAAAAGGTCTTTTCAAATGTATCTTATCAGAACTGGGTCTGCTGCTTGCTTGTGGCTAACTCAGATAAGTGGCATGGAACTACAGGTCTTCTTTCATGTATTTTACCATCTTTTGTGAACCAAGTTGTCTGCAGATGCTTATGTATCTGGACCTCAAAAGCAGTTTCTACAAACAAGGGTTATTGCAAAACAAGAATGTCTGTAAAATGTGACCACTTAAGTAATCCTAGAAACTTAATGTGAAAGGGAGAGGAGATGGGTGATCTAACCCAAATCTAAACTATTGTTAATCAACCATGAATTAGCTGTGAGTCACAGCACATCAGGGTACAACCATGGGCTTCAGGAGAACTTAGTTTAGTTTCCTGCTCTACCACAGATTTCACTCTGAAGCTGGACAAGTAGTTGTATCACTTTTGGCCATCTTCAACACGGGGGTGATAGCTCTGACCTTTAGCCTCTGTTGCCTCTCCAGACTAAAGGCTCCTAAGAGGTGACAGTCTGTCACTACAGTGCCTAAGCTCTGTACAGCCTGATTAGACATGGGGCCCCTTGCACACTGTCATCTGGCAAAAACCATAACATAGTTCATAAATAATTATGTTTTACAATAGCCCTTTTCTTCAGTTCCCAAGGAGAAGACATAACACATTGAATTAAAGGAACAGCTCTCACCTGGTAATATTAAAAACCATCTGAACTGCTCTCTAGTCACCCCAGAAGTCAGATGAAGCTTTAAAATCTATTTCAACAAGTTGGTGTGATTTTAACGTGACTTCAAGTCTGAGCTTGGAAATTCTTCATTTGAAGAGAGTTCCTTTGAATAACTAAGGCGTGAAATGAACTTCTCAAAATGATCATGGGTCTTTCAGGCTTTCAGGCTTTGTTCTAGTATAAATTTTTTCTAGTATCAATGCCTTCTGCTTGCCAGAGCCATCCTAACTTGAATTCATAATTTAAGACGGGAGAAAAAATTCAGCTATTGCATGTACCTTTAATCAAGGTGATTTATTGCATGTGCACTGCAAAATGACAGCAATGACTGTCTGAACTGTCCAAGCACAGAGAGCTGTTTCTGTCAAATACTTATGGTATGACTGAACACATGCTCAGAGTAAGATCTTTGTTTAGTAAATATTGACTATTCCCTAGTCCTTTATATCCTGTCGTCATTTCCTTTGTACAGCTTGCAGCTGTACTTTCAAGCCAATGTACAAAAGTCATTGGTTAGGCAGAGTTTCATAAGTGTGTTTAACTATGTAACAGAGATCTTTTTGATGTTTTTTTCCTCTCAACACAGTTCTTGGAGTTCTGGAAATTGCATCCAAACTAGCCTACACTGACACCTTCTATGTATAAGTCAGTAGATTAGTTAGTTATCCATTTAAGAAGTATGACTATACTGTAATTTACATGTAAAAATTTAAATATGTACACATATGTATAAATATATATAAAAAAGTAGGGAACTTGGCTGCCATGTAGTCAGTTTGTGGTTTTGGAAAACCACAGGCTCTAGGGTGGAGATAGCCATTGTATTGCATTAGCTGTTTTCTCACAGTTTAAGAAGCAGCAGCTCGAAACGCTGTGGTTCAGACAGTAAAATACCCAACAGTAAAGCAGTTCCTCCATGTAGGCCTATGTGTTTCACTGGGCCTCTGAAAAGAGGTGGGTGGAAGGGGATGTTGGCTAGTTCATGGGTGGTCACAGGTTCCTGTGTGTTGGGCAGGAATGGGAAAATGGGGAAATTGTTTAGTGGTGGGGGATGTTGGCTAGTTCATGGGTGGTTACAGGTTCCTGTGTGTTGGGCAGGAATGGGAAAATGGGGAAATTGTGTAGTGGTGAAGCCTTCTGAGAGGGAACATGCACTGAGTTGTGTGACACGTGGAGAGTAGGAGGACTCTTCACCCTCAGTCACCACAGGACTCACTCCACAGTAATTCCTATGTGTGTGTTGGGTTTCAGAACAAAGAGGGAAACTACAATCTTGTAGGGTGTTTTATCAGTTTTGAGTCGTGGGCAGAGCACACAGGTTTTGGATTGAAATACTAGTTTTATTTTCTGCCCAATTAATATTTAAATCGATTTTTTTCTGTTATATTGTCCTACTCCTGTACGTTTCTATTCTCTGAGTTGAACGTGCAAGTGATCAACACCAAGACAGAGTTAATGAATTGAATGGTAAACTTCTGTGTTAGGGCTGCTGCCTTTCTCAAGTCTCACTCTCTTTTTAAGCTCTGCCAGCAGGTTTGGGCTGTGTAGGGCTAGACAGGAGAGGAGTTTGGATGTTAACATCTCTAAACACTGCTCAAGTACACTGCTGAACTGCTCTTACAAGGTAACATGATTCAGCTCTGTGGCCTAGAGGTAGAAGCCATTATTTTCACTTTTTCTGCCTTGTAGAATTTATATGTGCTTCAAAGCCATGGGGTGAAACCTACAAACCTGGAAATATTTAAACTCAGTACCTCCTGAGAGTTGTCCTATTAATGATGCCAGAAAAGTCACAGAAAAAAAATAAGTGATAGAAAAACCCAAAGCAACCTACTAACAACTTAGATGAGGTGGAATTCATGCTCAGTTCTCTGGAAAGACTCTCATCCTAAGCATAGCAATCCCAAATGGGTCATGTTC